ATCGGGAACGGGCGCGGCACGCTTCCCAGATGTTGCTGTGGGATTGCGCCTGTTTGCTGCGCCCCCGATCTGTCCCTCTCCCGGCCCAAAACCACTCGTGTGACCGGGGCCTATGTGTTTCAAATTATCCTGGGTTATTTGTTCCCGTTATTAGAGTGCTGGCTTTTTGCTGTGAATAAATTTGTTGTTGTTGTTGTTGTTCCCATCTGGCTACCAAGCATTTCAATATTCATTTTTGAAGACATGAGCTGTAGATTTATGGTTCCCCCCCTTACAAGGACATAATTACACAAAAGAGGCTAGGGTCCCAGGTCAAAGAGCACATAGGTATGTTAGGTCAGGTAGAGAGAATCAGGTGGTTTCTTCTGGGACACATTGCCCAGGCTAAGGCATTTGTAACACAAAATGGCATGGGATTGGCTTCTCTGGTTTTACCTGATTTTCCCCAAGGCTGGAGTTGAGCATCACAGCTCAATACCTGCTTCACACATGCAGGAGAACAAAATGGTAGAATGAACTGCTGCAAGTGGTAGATTCCAGCTTGGAATGTTCTTTTGCATTTTTTAAAAAAACACCCTCCATGCAGTGCACTGAAAGCTGGCACATCAGGAAGAAATGTTCTACCATACCTGCTCACTTTTTTATAATTTGCAGGAAGGTTTTCCAGCATAGGGGAGCATTCCAAAACGAAATACTCCTCCTCTTGCATTCTACCCCTTCATTTACCCACTTCTTCCAGCCCCACATCTTTGGCAATGTAGAGAACCAAATGCCCAATTCACAGGGCATCTAGTTAAAGCTCCATATTGTGCCAGATTTTAAATTAGGAAATGACCAAGACCTCCTACTCCAAAACTAGCTATGCAGTTGTTTGTTAAAATCATTTGGCAGGGCTTCAGGAAAGGCCTGAGGGGGGGAAGCACCCCCGTTTTAAAAGTGAGAACTGCATCTATGACTAGGGTGTTAATCCTTCAGATTTCACTGGGAAATTAAAAAAGGTTTAATTGAGATAAATCCAAGAATGCATAATAAATGTGATGAATAAAACTGATAAGGAACATTGTCTTCACATGGATTCAGTTCCAAATTAATCATTTGGGGCGAACATTATACTAAAAAGTCAATTTACAGAAAATAACCTATTCTACACTAAATTTATCACAAAGGTCTCCCCACCCCACCTATGGCTCCACTAATGGGCTATAGTGAAAATAAATGAATTAAATGAAAGTATCTCCTTTTCCATTCAAGTAATTCAAACATTTGCATATCAAAGAGCGGCGAAGTGCAGGTCTCCACTATTTGGCAAGATCACATTCCACTGATTACTTATCTCCCATAAAGGATACAGATGACACACTTCAAACAGTTTCACTTTGGATAGGTCGGAAGTATTAATTGAGACAATGTAAGATGCTTCTGGGGCTGTGGTGGTTCAGAGGTTAAGATGCTAAGCTGCAGACTAGAAGGTCAGTAGCTCGGCAGTTCGAGACCCTACTGCTACATGACGGAGTGAGCTCCCGTCTCTGGCCCCAGCTCTTGCCAACCTAGCAGTTTGAAAGCAAGGAATTGCAAGTAGATAAATAGGTACCATTTTGTTGAGAAGGTAACAGCATTCCATGCGCCTCAGTGTTTAGTCATGCCGGCCACATGACCATGGAAGTCTATGGACAGCGCTGGCTCTTCGGCTTGGAAATGGAGATGAGCACCGCCCCCTAGAGTTGGAATCGACCGGCTTTCAAGCAAGGGGAAACCAAGACGCCTCTGGGGATATGAAATGGTATAGTATAGCCCAGTCTTGTCATATCTTGGAAGCTAAGGAGGTTCAGTACTTGGACGGGAGATCACCGAGCAAGACTTTGCAGAGGAAGGCAATTAATTATATTAAAAAAAACAGCTTACCTGGGGAGATCGTGGTCAAGTTTGCAAGAAGACAGACCAGAGATGTCACATTGAAGGCAACTTTGGCAAATCCATTGAAATTCGGGAACACAATTATTAAGACTCTAAAAGACATTCCATTTGAAATTCATCAAAAGAGGAAGAGCTACAAGGAATTAATCTCATTTCTTCAAACAAATGGAATATGATATCGATGGGGGATTCCTGAAGGTGTCATCTTTAAAATTAATGACAGAAGAGAGAAGATCGACTCCATCTTTAAAGCGAAGGAATTTCTGAGATGGCAGCTGGGATCAGAAGAAGAACTAAAGGATGAAGAAACAAAATCGAGTGACTCTGTTACCTCTGGAACGGATGAGGACTCTGTTGGTGAAGTGGGAGCGGGAGCAAGTAAAACTGTGTCTGATTTTAGAGAGAGAAAACAGAAGTAAGGGCAGAAGGACTCTGAAAATGGCCCTATGAAGATAGGAAGACGCTCAAGAAGTGTTCTCAAAATACTAAACCTCCTAATATTGAAGCAGTAGTCCCTAGTTGTAGTCCCTCCCTTTATTTTCTGTTGTAGTTTGTAGTCTTATGAAAAAATAGTAAAATTACCTTTTCGGGGGTTAAAAAAAAAATGCCAGCACTGCCAACAGAACCGCCCATTCACCTTCCCTCTGGCACCCACGAGAACAACCACCCCGCTACAAGTGGGGCGCCATCATCGGACCCTGCTACACCGCCCCCAGCCGGTACTCCACCTAGTGCAGTGGCAGTGACTCCAGCCACGGGCCCTGAACTTCGCCGCTCCACACGCACCAGAACGGCACCGGTACATCTCAAGGACTTTATTTGTGCGTGTGTTGCGAACCAAGGGGGGAGGGGTGTAATGTATCCAGTCTCGACTGTGTGGCAGACTAGGGCTCTACGCGGTCAGGCGAAACTGTCGAGCTTCGACCATGAGAACAATGGTCTATGCAGATCCTAGCCCAAAACTGGTTCAAGTGTAACAGTCATCCAAAGCCAACCTATGATGCACACAATCAGAAAATACTGTCCAAGATGGCTGTGGTGTAGCAGTTGGATGCTAGGCTAAATTTGCTTTGGTACATGAGCACACACAAAACTTGGATTTGGGGGCTGTTCACAAGAGCCCTACTTTAGGACACTGATACCATTTGGAGCATACACTTTGATCTCAGGCAGACGTAGGGCTGGATCCTAGTAGTTTTCTGCTATTGGAAGATAATCACTTCCTTCTTTCCTGTTCCCTCAGGAACCCATGCCCCACAAGCTATCTTGGTTTGCAGTGAGAAGGGGCAGTGGATGAGAACACCCATGGAAAACTGATAAGATCTAACCCAGTACACTTAAACCAGGATGTGAAATGGGTTTTGCAAACTATGGTTAAATGCTACATCTGTACTAAGCAAACTATGGCTAATGTTTGCCCCTTTCTCTTTAGCCTCTCTGTTTGCCGAATAACAAGGAGACGTTATAGGTCTCTCCCCTAAACACATCCTACAGCAGTAGAAAACAGCAAGAGTCCAGTAGCACCTTAAAGACTAACAAAAGATACAGCAGGGTATACGTTGCTCACTTCAGTCACTACTTCCAGCTCATGAAAGCTCATACCCTGCCACAGATTTTGTTAATTGTTAAGGTGCTACTGGATTCTTGCTCTTTTCTACAGCTACAGACACAGCTACCCATCTTGATCTATATCCTACAGCATATGGTTTGGCAGAGTAAGGTAAAATATGCTTTCACTATGTTTGGAATCAGCTAACCATGGCTTTTTGCCTTAACCTCAGTTCAGTAATCATGGTAAGCTTTTGTCAGGGCAGAAACGTTCACTGGATCAGTTCATACCCGATTGCTCAGGAAGATTAAACACACTGGAGACCCTCTTCTCACCAGGAGCTCTTCAGCTGTGCCCCTTCCCAGATGTGCTTTAGATGGGGAGGAGCTATGGCTCAGTGGTAAAACACAGGCTTTGTAGGCAGATGGCCAAGTCTCTTGAAACTTGTGTTCAAGGTACCAGGCGCTTAGACTCGTCTTTGCCTGAGACCCCACAGCAGCATTGCCAACCAGAGTAGCCAACAATGCACTTGTGGGTGATGGTCTGATTCTGTGTATGGCACCCTCATGAGTAGGGACCCAAATTGGTAGAGGAGTCACTTTACAGAGGGGCAACTGATGTACAGACAATTGCTTATCTGTGCAATGTAAACAGACCTTTATAGAAAGGTTAAAGCAGATTCTGATGATTGATCTCAAGAGAGGAAGGACAGAGAGGAACGGGGTAGCAAAATTTTCCTCTTATCAATACTCAGGAACCAGCTCTGGAATTACTTCATACAGGTGCACATACCTGCAATTCAAGATGTGTTGCAACAGGACAAAGAGAAAAATGCTAGGTGCTGGTCCAAAGAGGAGGCACGTAGGGAGTGTTAATATGTGGTTTGTACACTTAACATTCCTGGTGGAATCAATGCCCATTTGTTGAATTTCAGTAAATTTTAAGCATGTATGGAGCCTTCCCCTTCTTTTCTGTATAGAGAATGCTCATACACTTGAAGTGGAGTGTTTCTCTTGTGCATTTTCACAGAACTTTCGTAAGGAAGAACAGGGAGTCCCTGTACATGTGAAGCAACTATATGTGTCCATTGTCCCTACCAATTCTGCAATTTCTGAGGAGTAAGAATCATCTTTAGGCAAGCAGGCAAGGATGTTCTGCAGAAAATATGAAGTTGACAGCCCTTGACATTAAAAAAAAAAGATAAAACAGTACCTGCAGGAGGATCAGTAAAAAAACTTGTGGACTAGTAACTTGTGTGGCTTTATTAGCAAAGCTGGATTTAGCAGCAAAACTCAAATGGTAGGTAGAAATATGCTGAATAAATTGCTGCTCACAAGTGTTGTTAAAGACATTAGTATTCTGATCAAATCTTACCAGCAATATTAAATTGTGCAAATTATCTGTTACCTGAATGGTGGATAAAGAAAAGCTTTTTTGTTGTTGTTAAAACAAACAAAGCCCTGTACATGAACCACAATAATCCAAGCCACTGGCAAAAAGCTATCTGCAAGAAAATGTTTATTTTTTGTAAACCCCACAGAAAAAAAAAGAATGCAGCCAAGACTGAGTATTTCAACAAAAGTAGTGCCCAAAAGGCAGCCCAAAAAGGAGGGAAAAAAGGGGGGGAAAGGGGAAAAAAAAAAGGGGGGGGGAACCTCAACACAAAGTCAGTGACAATATTCTATGTTCTGCACAAAGATGAAAACCTATGACATTTCTGAGTAACACTTTCATGGTGACAATTACACAAGATGATTCAAAAATGTAAAATGACGGCAACATGCACACTTGGCTAAAGCTAGAAGTTTTATCTCAAAAAAAATCTCTGATTAAAATTATGGATCTGTAATACTCCTATTTTTGACTTGTTGTCCTACTTTATTTTTTTTAAACAAAGCATACCTGCCAATCCATATGAAACCTTTAAAAATGTTTTTAAAGAAGAACATTGTCCTTCCAGAGTCCACTGCATGTTTTTGCAAAATCATAAACTGTTTTGATTTTATAATTTTGCTAGTTACTAATACATTTTTATCACCATTTTCACCCTCCCACCCAAGCCCAAACTTTAAACACTTCAAAAGTTGCCAGTGCAACACACTTTCCTACCAATGTACAATATACATTTCAACTTAAATATCTGTGCAATTTTAAAGAGTTTCTATTTAAAAACTCTTATTTTGAAAAAAACAACACAATAAATCCTTGGCACAACTGCTGAGATTTAGTCAGCCCCATTGAAATTAAGTTGTCAAAACACAAGATGATGTAAAGCGAAATTGCAGTTGACTTTTTTTAGAAGAAAGAACCAGAGCTGCAGCTTTGATGAGCCAGCTTGACAGTCTCTCGTATACAGTACATTGCACAACTCCGCCTTCCCTAGAATGCTCCCTGTCACTACTGAGACCTCTACAGCACATCCTAAAATCAAAGCCAAGTTACAGAACACTCTTGATTTTGTACCAAAAAGACCACAACAACATAGAGATGGAACCTTGGGGTTGCAGTGGGCATCCAATTCTGCAGTAGACTCTGTAAAACGAACTTGGGTGTCTTAAGCTAGATGACAGCAAAGGGGTGGGGAGGAAGAAAACTGTCTGAAATACCAAGTTTCCTCTTGAAATGTCTTTTCCCAAGGCACTGTTGAACAAGACTGATAGCAGTTTTTAAAATGACTAACATATACCAATGGGAATCTAAGCACCTCACACAACCAACATTATGTTTTAGTTTCTCCGTTCTGCTTTACTTCTTCCTTCTCTTCAAAATGATGACCCCTTAAAAATGTTTGGTCCTTAGAGGGGTAAGCAAATGGATGTCTCACACATACCCTTTTTCTCCCCCACCGTAATAATACATTGATGTATCAAAGCTTTGTGTGATTAAACCCTTTCACAAAAACAAAAAACCCTAAAGAATTTCCATCATTATTCCTTGCAACTCTCAATCTGCCATTTTGGCGTCATTATGTGTAAAGAAATACAAAAGAAAGGGTTTAGAATCAAGCAAGTTATATTTCTGTCTTTTCAAGAGGAAACCTTGCAAGAGTATTTTTGCTTAAAGAGGCAGAATTTGCTACAAGAAAACTAAGATTTGTGATTTTTTTTCCCCTTAATGCATTGGCCAAGAAAAAAATTGTAAAGTTCTGTGAGGTTTTCTAAAAATTTAGAAGAAAAACTGATGGGCAGTTCTAGCCAAACCTTGATGTTGGGGTTCTCTTCCCCCACTTCCTTCTTTTTATTTATTTTTCTTAAACAATAAATCAGTACAGTCTCACACAATACAAATTTCATCTTGACTGCAAGAGATTTTTCTGTGTGATGCCTTCTGCATGACAAACAACATTGGCATTTACTTCTTCAGGGGTTGATAAACTGAGGCATTGGGATCAAGTCCAGAAGGGCTGGTCTCCACAAATTTGGAAGAATAATGTGGGGAAACGGGACTCAGCGTGCTGGTGGCCGGAGTGTATGTTATGCTGGGCATTACTGCCATAACTTCTGCGATCTTCTGTTTTAGGTCCTTGATTTCCTGATCTTTTTGAATGATTTGCCCTGCAAGATTTGTTAAAAAAAAAGAGAGAGGGGAAAACAAGTTATTAACCAGCAACACATAAGAGATCAGCCCTGTTGTCTGAAATAGTTTGGTGTCAGAACCTTGGGGGGAGGTTGTTACTGTGAATCAATGAAAAACATAATCTAAACAGAATCAACCACTTGTTTGACTTATTACATGATTCTGCAACATTTTAATTTTAAAAAGCACCAAGTTCTTATCCATCATTCTAGTGCCTTTCCAGGCCAAAGAAGGGCATTCCTCCTGCAAGAGGGAAGGAGTCACAGCTTAGTAACAGAGTCCATTTATCACATGCAGAACACCTCAGGTATGGTTCCCATTCACTCCAGACAAAAGGATCTCAGGTAGGAGGTACTGGGAAAGAACCTTCTCTGCCTGCTGCCCTACAGCACAGACAGTAGTAAGCTATATGTATGCTGATTCTTCGTGCCAACATTTTGTTCTTCCATCTTTGTAAGCAGAAGGACTAGACAGTCCCCACCCCCAGCTTGCAACAGAAGTTGACAGACAAGGGAAGGTATCTGGAATATTTGAGAGAACACCCCTCCACTCCCCTTCCCCTTTGGCTACAACCTGGCCTTGAGTGCAATCCTGTAAGCATTACTCTTCAGAAACTCGCTTTCATTTTTTGAGGTTCACACTGTATTTGAGCAAGGTGAATGGAGGCTGCACATCAGCAGCACTCAACATACCCCCTCCCACATTGCCTTTCAAGGTGATAGACCCATCTAGCAAAATCTTTGCTGGTGACAAAATGAACCTTCCAACAGTAGCATAAACCACAAACATCCTGGTTTAGGAAGCTATACCCACCCAGCTCCATTCTGTTGCCAGAACTTAGTGGAACTTACACAGATAACTCAACTCAAGTGTACATCCATTTCTCATTTCTCCCATCAGTTTGCAAAAGCACCATTAAATAAATGCTAGGATGCTTCTTTTCTCTTTTTTTGGGGGTATTTGTGTGTGTGAGCTTGCAAGCCTGGAAGTCATGATGACTTCTGGTGACTGCTACTGGGGAAAGGACATTTCAGAGAAGTGGCTTATATTCCCTGCCTCTGCAGCCCAGCCCTGGTATTCCTTGGAGGTCTCCCTTCCAAGTACTTGCCAGGGTTGGCCCTTCTTAGCTTCTGAGATCTAATGAGACTGGGCTTGCCTGGGCTATCCAGGTCAAGGCAATCCAAGGATGTTTCTAACATACTGTTCTCCATACAATTTAAAGTCTTATGCTTCAAGTCAAGACTTTTTTTAAGAGCTGGAAATTCCATCATTTCCCAATTCAAAATTGGTTGTTTTCATGGATCTGTGCAAACCCATCCAAAGTCTGGACAAAGAAGAAGAAGAGATCGGATTTATACCCCACCCTTCACTACCCAAAGGTGTCTCAGAGCGGCTTACAAACTCCTTTCCCTTCCCCTCCCCACAACAGACACCCTGTGAGGTAGGTGGGGCTGAGAGAGCTCGACAGAAACTGCTCTTTTTCAAGGACAGCTCTGACAGAACTATGGCTTGCCCAAGGTCATCCAGCCAGGTGCAAGTGGAGGAGTGGGGAATCCCAGATTAGAGTCCGTGCACTTAACCACTTAACCACTACACCATGCACTTAACCACTACACAAAAGTAACACATCAGCCTGTACAGTTTAGTGTTTTAACTTTACCCCAGGTTCAGAATGGCTTTGCCAAGATGTGTGAAATCAGCAAAAAATTGATGGGGGGGGGGGAAGGAGGGAATTTCCAGCTTTTAAAAAAGGATCTGAATGCTATACTGAGATTAGATGTCATCAGAACAACAATCTTGCTCACATTTTGCTTATCAATAACACAGGAAAACATGGATCCAGGTGGACAACCATGTTGGTCTGAAGCAGTAGAACAAGTCCAGTAGCACCTTTAAGACCAACAAAAGTTTATTCTTATGTAGAGGCATCTGCCTATCTATATGAACTGTTAATAGGGTTGCCAGGTCCTAAGGTCTCGCCAGTGGGGGGTGGGAGAGAGCTTTCCAGGAGTGTGTGTGGGGGCAACATCACCATGTGCAATGTTGACGTGATGACTGTCACGTGAAAGTGACATCACGCTGGGTTGTGGCAGTTGGGGCGGGGCTTTCCCCCACTGGCCAGCTGACCTGTGGCATACAGGAGCCCGCGAAATTGGGGGATCCCCTGCTCCCATCAGGGGGCTGGCAATCCTGTTAACTTACATTTCAATGTATCTGAGGAAGTGTGCATGCACACAGAAGCTCATACCTTGAATAAACGTTTGTTGGTCTTAAAGGTGCCACTAGATTCAAAATCTGTTCTACAGGAAAACATGTTTTGTGCAAAGCTGCCTTGATTGAACCCAGCATTTAGCTTGAACACAGTAACTCTGTCAGGGAACAAGGCTCTTTAGTTAAGTTTGTGCACCCTCTACTGACTGAACTGGTTGTTTACAGCTTATAGCTCACCAGAATCAGAACTGAGTAAGAGAGAGCTAAGCTTTAGAAAGATTTTCGCATCCTCCTTCAAAGAACAGGACACCTAGCAATTTGGAGAGGGGAGGCTTGAAAGGAAGAAATGTGGAGGGCAGGGGACAGCCTAGGTATTGATGTGCTGCAAATGAATCCATCACAGAAAAATGAGGAAATGGGATGTTCCTTCCAAGGAAGCCGATTTAAACTGGATAAGAAAGGTTGGCTTGCTTCTTTTATCCACCCTTGGTGAAATCATCAGTGTAGACCAATCTAATTGGCTAGATCATGCTGTGCCATCAACACACTCCATGTGATGCCCCGTCGGCTGGATTTACTTTGGAAGGCAGAAAGCTCAGAAAATTATGGTGCCAAAATGGCTGACATTGCCTTAAAAATTAGCAAAAAAGGTACTGCTTGGGTTCCTCCTACTCCCCTCCAGATCCACTCTTGCTTCCCAAGCATTTAAGGATAAAAATTTAATGCAGTCTAATCACAGCTTCCACCTATCACACTTTTTTAGAAGTTTGCCCTTGTAGGTCATCTCCCTAAGACTTAAAAACATCAGTATCCTACCGTCTGCAGACTTGTGAAACAGGACTCTTTCACACACCCCATACCTTTGCAGCCCACTGAGAACCCTGAAACGTTCTCGGGGGGGGGGGGGGGCAATGGATTCTCAGGAACAGTATAGGGGGCAAAGTGAATATCTGCAGTGGGTGGGTGGGTGAATTGGTGAAAGTTGTCATCTTCTCTTCCAAAAACTTAAAGGGGCACATCAGCAGGTGCAAGTGGAGGAGTGGGGAATCAAACCCGGTTCTCCCAGATTAGAGTCCGCACACTTAACCACTACACCAGACTGGCTCTCAAAGGCACTTAAGTCTTTGGAAATGTATAGTTTTAGTGATGGCTAGAGACAATTTACATTATTTTAATCAAGTATCTATTTATGGATTCTCTCTTCCCTCTCCCTCCTGCATTTAACTTTCCTGGACAGAGTACACAAAATGAGGACATCGAGCTGTGTATGAACTGTTAATTTCCTACTATATTACATTTCTGTAGAGTTTGCACTCAAGAGTTGCACTCAGAAATCCAACAGGACAGTTTAAGCCCAATGCTTCCTTCATTGCTGCAAACAAGTGTCCTCAGTCATATGCAGCTCCTTTCCTTCGAATGAAGGATGCTGTATTTGACTAGGACAGTCTGGCCAACTTCCTACTGTTCAGGTGGACCAAAGGCAATTAACTCTCAGGTCTCTGCACCAGACATCTGTATTCATTCTCTCTACCCAGACTCCACAGAGAGTCTCAGTAATTGTTAGATACTCAAGTAGCAGTTCACCTGATTTAACAGTGCAGTCCCACTGGGTCAACTATGGACTCTATTGCAGCAAACAG